CCCAGCGACTCACGGCGCCCTGGACGCGAGAAAAGCATAAATGTCTCATGTGTGAAGTGTTACCAAAGATTCGTCATGTTTTGCACACCATTGTCACCCATCTTGTGCAACCCATTTACGAGAAAAAATAAAAATAGGCTTAAAAAAAAGAAGAAATTGACCAAAACTACGGCCTCACCTTGAGCTTCGAGAGCGTGGAGTTGAGCGAGATGTTGAGTTGGTCCCACTCGGCGCGGAGTCTCGTGAACTCCGTGCGAATGAGCTCCTGCTGGTCTACCTGCGTCACGTTGAGGGCGCGGGTGTAGGCCTCCGCCAGGACGCCCAGGAGGTGCTGCCCTTCGGAGAGTCGGGTGGACACCAGCTTCACCGTCTCCAGTTTGTCACGGACCTGCGAGTGAGTGGGTGGGCGGTGAGTGTTGTTTCGGGGATGTGCTTATCAGTGTCTCCTCTCGCTCTCTCTCTCTCTCTCTCTCTCTACTTTTTATCCTGTATTCTCCATCCCATCTCTCTTTCTGCATCTGCCCTCACTCCTATTATCCTTATAACACCCCTCTCAAACACACAAACACAACCCCCCTGCACCCCATCCTCCATAAACAGCCCCCCTCTACCCTCCCCCCCCCACACACAAAAAAGACGACCCTTCAAGGTCCTCTTACCGTGGCCTCCGATCCCGTCTCCTCCTCGCAGTCGTTGACGGTGCCCTGGGAGCGGTTGAGCCAGCGCTCGAAGTCGTCCTTGGCGGTCACGAACTCGGTGTGGTCCGTGAGGGTCTTCTGGGCGATGACCACGAGACTCTGCGTCGCGGCGAGGAAAAGAGACGGAGGGAGAAAGAGGTTAATGATGATGACAGATTGGAGAAATGGGGTGAATAGGATGTTTATGTTTGGAACACCGGGAGGAAAGGATTGTGTAATGATTCTTATACGAATAAGTGGAAATATGAAAAATAAAATATACGACTTGTCAATAAGAGAGATTAAATAATAAAAAAAAAAAGAAGAAAAAGTACAAAAAGAATGTGCCATTATGATATCTCTTCCAAGACAAGAGAAAAAAAGGAAACTACGAAAAAAAAGAGAATCGACATTATCATTGCGTAGGCCTACCTGCAGGTTGGTGAGGACGTTGGTATAGTTGGACTGCAGCTGCACCGTCATGTCCCTGATGGGCATGTGGGCGCTGTACTCCATGAGCACCTCGCAGCGGTCGTTGACGATCTCCAGGTCCGTCTTCTTGTTGTTAGCCTCCAGCAGGAGCTCCTGTAAAGACGAGTTGTGGAGAGGGAAGTGGTTGGGAGAGAAAGGGGGTGGGGGTCTTACGTGGGGGGGGTGGGGGGGGGGTCCTGAGGGGAAGGGATAGGGGAGGTGGGGGTACGAAGAGAGAAGAGGAGACAGAGAGCGAGGAGGGAGTGGAAAGGAAGGAGAAAGGGGGTGGAAGGGTACAGGGGGTGCGGAAAAGGAAGGAGAAACAGAGAACGGGGAAGGAGAGGAGAGGAGAGAGAGAGAGGTGGAAGGGTACGGGGGGGGGGGGGTGCGGAGAAGGAAGGAAAGACAGAGTGAGGGGAGGAGAGAGAGAAAGGGGAGTGGAAGGGAAACGGGAGAGGGTGCGAAAGGGAAAGGAAAGGCAGAGAGCGGAGAGGAGTGTGGAGAGGAAAGAGAGAGAATGGAGCGTGGTCAGAACAGAGATAGGAGACGCCAGAAAGGAAAAAGAGAAAGAAAGAAAAGGGAAAGGAAAGATGAAAAATAGGGGGGACGAATAGGGGTTATGGCGAAGTGAAATGGTTGGTGGAATTCCATTAATGAGGTGGAGTGCGCGGGGAAAGGGAGGAGGAGGGGGGGGGGTGATGGGGCTAGTTTTGCCAATAAGCAGAAATGAATAAAAAGTGTGAGAGATACATAGATAAGTAGATAGAGAAAGAGAGAGCGAGAGAGAGAGAGAGAGAGAGAGAGAGAGAGAGAGAGAGAGAGAGAGAGAGAGAGAGAGAGAGAGAGAGAGAGAGAGAGAGAGAGGATAGAGAGAGAGAGAGATGCAATAAAGGAGTAAATAGTAAAAATAAAAAAGGGTGGGGGTGCATACATGTACTTACTAGGCGATATTTCTAGTTAATTACAAAAAAGTAACTTTGTTGTCTTGTAAAAGCCCAGCTCGCCGATTTCTTTAACATAACTTATTTTTAGTAAATATTAGAGGAAAATTGCGCATGTTCAATGAAAACGTAAAAAAGATTATCCATTGAAGTGATACAAAAATATGTCTAATCAAAAAATGATATAAAACAGACAAATTATACAGACCTGCCAAGGAAGGTTCTTTCCTTTTCAGAACCCATTATATACATATTCTATTTAAATGCCAATTGTAACAAATGTGTATATAGCGTGTATTAGCTATATGTACAAGTGTAGATTTGGATATGCGTGTTCAGAACACACACACACACACACACACACACACACACACACACACACACACACACACACACACACACACACACACACACACACACACACACATATATATATATATATATATATATATTATATATATATATATATATATATATATATATATATATATATATATATATATATATATACATACAACAATGTATCTGTATTCGATACATACATATATATGTATATATTGTTTATTAAAATATCATCACCTTAAGAACTTACTTAACGATATTAGTTTAAAAATCACTGTACTAGCGAAATTTGATTAGTGAAACGAAATGATGAAATACGAAGCAAATACCATGGATTTACGATCTACTCGAAAATTGCCGTAACAACCTAGTAATTTCCACTGACTAGCGACTATTTACAGTAACTGGCAGGTCTGCGCGGAACTTCAACATTTACATTCAACAGACACTTTACTTCGCCACAGACAGAAAAAGGTTAAGAATACACAGCACAGACTATTAAAGGAGGAACTGAACCCTAACAGCGACTACGTATGAATAAAACTCGTTGCGAAGTCTAAGTGCAAGCCGACACTATGTAGGCCTAGCTGTTAGACACGTGGGAATATTTTTTTTTTTGCGGGGGTCAAATGGGGGAGCGTTGGGATTAGAGGAGGTGAAGTAGGAGAGATGAGGAAAGGGGGAGAGAAATAAGATGTTAAGTTTAGGGTGAATAGGAATCGGGGTAATGACTCACGAGATGTTAGTGAGAGTCCCTAAGGTTAGTGAGTAGTACTCGTCGTCTACACTGCTATGACTCAAAGAACTAATGATTTCAAAATAATTGTAGCATACATTAAAACATGGAGAAGCAGAAATAATATGCAAAATTAATATGCGGCGTTTACATAAAAAATAATAAAATTAAAAATAAAAAGACTGAGAACTACGATCTAAAATCAATGCCTATCTTAGGATGGCTTTACTACGTCGTGAATGGGCCATCCAAATCTACGTTACATAAGCAGTGTAGACCTAGAGACAGCGACAAAGACGGCTGCAGTGCGGGCTGTGTTGGACCACGTACCTTCCATTTCTCGAGGTCCTCTGGGGTGGGTTCCTCGGGGGAGTGTGACACCTGCTTCTGGAACTCCGTCAGCCACTCGCTGAACGCCCTGTGAGAGTCGAAGAAGTCGTCCCAGGCCTGGAGGCACTTCTCCATTGTGCGTCGGGTGTCTGCGCTCATCTGCTGGAGGTTCTCCCACTCCATACGAAGGGTGTCGGCCTCGATTTTCAGTGTGTCTTGGCCGTCTGGGGAAGTCGAGGCCATGATGGATCTGTTCAGTGAAATGGCTTTGTCAATGAGTTCCTCTCCTTCAGGGAACTCTTCAGCGATGTCCTCTTGCTGCTGCTGCTTTTCAATGACCTCCTTCTTCTCACCATGGCTGTCGGCATACTGCTGCACAGTGATGCGGAGCTTCCTCAGCCAGTCATTGGCCTCGACTGTAGCTTGGTAGTAAGCCTCATGCTCTCTTACATATACCTCCAGTGTCTTGATATTATCAATGACCAACTTCTTAATATTATCGTACTTTTTGATACATTCTTCAACTTCTTCCTCTGAATATCCCTCATCATTCTTCTTAGCTGCCAGGCGTTCTACCATATCACAGTGAGCAGCAATATCTCGCAACAAGATTCTGTATTTCTCAAGAGCAGCTCGCTTGTCACTCAGCTCACTGAACAAGACACCCTGCTCAGTGGCCTTAGAGTGGAGTTCATCGAGCCATTCTACGACAGTCTCACGCATCTTATCTGTCTCTTCACGTCGGGATAACTTGGAGCTAAGGTTTTGCTGTAGGCTGTATATATCGCCCATTAACTTCTCAAAGTCCTTGCGTACATTCTCTGTATCTTCCTGTATAGTGGCTGCACCAGCCTGTTCTGTGTTCAGTATGACACGTTCCTTCAGCTCCAGCACATAGCGTAGCTTGTGCTGGCCTTGTTCCAGAGTGCTCTTAATAGACTTGACTGTGGCCAGCCTCTCTTTCAGTTCTTCCGTAGAGGTGGTCTCGCCAGCACACTCCTGAAGCTTCTTACGGGTGCGGTCAATCCAATCATTGCACTCGCTATAGAGCTGGTTGTGCTGCTGATGCTCCTGGAAGTGCATCTCCAGGCGGCGCATCACCTCCTTGGCAAGTGATAGCAATGTGTTATATTTTGTAGTCAATTGTGTGACGGCATTACTCACACGGGAATCAGCACAAGTCTCAAGCAGGAGCTGGGCTCGCATGTTCAAAAGATCCAGCGTCTTCTGCCAGTCAAAAATGCTCTGGAGGAGAGCCTGGAATTCTTCCAGGACTGATCTCTTCTCCATCACAGTGTTTTGAAGCTTGTTGTAAGTCTGTACTTTGCCGTCCATTTTGGCTAGCCATTCTTCACACTCTCGGAATTTATCTTCATATTCTGTCCATTTGACAATTCCCATTTCAAGAAGGTTCTTTGTCTTACCCACTTGACCCCTGAAAAAAGATTAATAATCATTATAAAAGATGCATCAGAACAGCAGCATTAAGATAGTGACATCTGTTACACAAATACAAGTCTAGTCAAACACAAAATACTTACAGGAAAGTGTCAAATTCGTCTTGCAGGAATGCCACTTCTTCTTCTATGACTTCTTTGTCCTCATCATCAGCCAAGTTGCATGCCCTCTCAGCTAAGAGGAAGGCCTTGTCTAGTTTCTTTTGGCCTTCCTCTTGTTCGTTCTGTAGCATCTTGAGGATAGTTGCTTTACCACTGATGGTATCCTTGTCACCTGTTGGCTCTGCACACTTGGCCATCCTCTCCTTGGCAGCCCTGAGCCAATGCATGAACTCGTTACCTGCATCTACAAACTCCTGGTGGTGGTCTACCATATCTTTCTGCTTCTCAAGAAGTTCCTTGGCTTGCTTGCTCAAGCTCTGGTATTTGCTCGAGATCTCTGACGCATTGCTCTTTACCTGGCTGGCTTGGCTTTCTGTTGCCTTTGAAGTAACAGATTCAATCATTGGTTCAAAAGATACAATATCCTGAACAATGCTGCTTGTACGGCGAAGGTTAGCCTTGCGCTCTCCAATGCTTAGAGTAGATATTCTGTGTGACAAGCCTGAACTTCTCTTGGAAGAGGAGGCCATGGCCGTTGTCAGCTGTTGGAGTTTGGCCTCTCTCTCACTGATCCATTGCTGCATGTTACTGTAAGAGGCACTCATGTCAGCCCATTGGAGAAGATTAGTCTCCAGTGTCACTTTAGCACTTGATAACTTCTTGATCAGTTTGTCCCAGTCATTCTGAAGCTCCTCTAATGAGTCATTAATAGTATCACGCCCATCTGAGCGTGTATTGCGAAGAACTTTTTCACCCCAGTTGACAGTCTGGTGAACAAGGGCTTGACCTTCCTCCTGCTTCCTCATCAATGACTGGATCATCTCGAGGTGTCGTTCAAGGCTTTCCTTGCCCGAGTCAGGAGACATATCGACACAGTCCCGCACAACCATGCGAGCATTGTCGATCCATTCTCTTGCCTTACTCATGTAGGTTTCATACTGGCGATGCTGGTCAAAGCTTGATTCTACCTTCCTAAGGACATCCTTTGCCATGTTAATAAGGACCTGGTAACGGGAATTGAGGTGCCGCATCTGGTTTTGTACGAAAGAATCTAGGTGTGTTTCCTGGAGCGTCTGGGAGAGCTCATTTAGTTTCTTCAGTTGAACTTGTTGTTTTCCAAGACTTTCAAGTAGGTCCTGTAGAAAAATAGACATAAAGAGACGAATAAGTATATATTTTTTTACAGTATTATGTTGGATAATATACAATCACATTCATGTAAAATAATAATAATGATAATAAGAATAAATAGAGCAAATGTATACTCTTACCTTGACATTATTGACCTGCTGTGTCTTCTCCCCAATACTGGCATAAAGCATCGTCTTGTATGCCTTCATATCGGCATCAGCCTTCTGCAGCCAGTCGGAAAGCTTTTCATATTCGTCTTTGTAGTCACGCCATTGTACAACTGTCTTCTGGAGGTTCTCCTTTTGCTTGGAAATGTCCTGGAAAAGACTCTCGAAGCTTTCCTTCACGGCCCTCATCTCATTCCTGTAGTGCTCCTGGCCCGACTGTGAGGTGGAGTGGAGGAGCACCTCCCCACGGTGGAGGAGCTGGTCCACCAGAATTTGACCTTGAGCCTGTCTGGTGAGCAGGGTATCCAGAGCCTGTACTGCTGTCTCAATGGACAACCTGTCACCAAGATTCCTCTGCTTGAGTGCTGGAATCTTGTCTCTTGTCCTGTTGACGAAAGCATGGAGATCATCGTAGGCCTCTTTGTAGTGGCGGTGGTCACGGTACTGAGTTTCTCGCTCACCACGCAAGGTCTTGATGCGTTCTGAGAGATTTTCAAATTGCTTGAGAATGCCCTGAGCCTGTGAGGCTGCTTGTGCCTGCTGTCCACTGGCAATCATCTCAGAAGCCTTTGCCTTGAGGCTCTCCACCTCATACTTCTCACATCGCAGTTTTTCCTCTAGACTCTGAAAATAAATATTTAATAACATTAGCATAATTATTTCATTGTAATAACCTTATGTGAAGCAGATATGAAAAGTAATATTTCTACTCTTTATGACGAAACAGTAACTGTTAAACTTACTTTCAGTCTCTCCAGCTGAGCCCTCTTTTCTGACAATGTTGCCTGGAATTGGCTAACGTCGGAGAGTGTGTGCTCAACATGCTCGATGGTCTTGTTCAGCTGATGGATGTTTTCCAGGAAGCCTGCCCATCGGTGAAGTGTCTCATCCAAATACGTCTTAGTTTCTACCATCTTTGAGGCAAGAGCACTCCAGCTTTGTTGCAACTCCTCAACTGCCTGATTGATCTGGTCATGGCCTGCAGGAGCTGTATTGGCCAGCACGGTCTGTGCCAGCTCAACAGTGCTTTGCACCTTGGAGAATCCTTCCTCCTTGTAGAGTAACAAATCCTGAATTGTTTCCATCTTTTTGTCCAAGTCATCTTGTGATGTGGCTGACAGGTCCGAGCAGTAGCTGAGCTTTCTCTTGATGTCTCCGAGGAAGTTATGACATTCTGTAACCCTGCTGTCATAGTCAGCATGGTAGCTCACATACTGGTGCCACTTGCTGTGCACATCCTTTACCCTTGTGGAGATCTGCTGGTAGCGAGCACAGAGTTCACTGACCTGCGATCCTCTGGAAGAATGGCTCTGATACAGGTTCTGAGCACGTTCTGTCAGCTGGTCCATCTCCAACTCCTTGGCACGGATCTCACCCTGGAGGGCCTTCAACATCTCCAGTGTTTCTTGCTTCTCAGGAAGCGTTGCCTTCAAGTTGACAGCATGGAGTTTGTTGTCTGTCTCTCTGAGCCAGCTCTGGGCGGCGTCCTTCATCGTCTCAAAGTCACCCCATTGGTTCAAGGTGCCCTCGAGTCTTTCAATAGTTGAGGAAACGGCTGAAATGAGACCTTGCCACTCTTGCTGGGTGGTGTCGATCTGGGTGCGGATATTGATCTGTCCAGACTCCACCGTTCCAGGAATGACCTTCTCTCCAAGGGTACGTATCTGCTGGATCCTTGGCTCTTCCTCTGGCAAACTCAGTTGCAAGTTCTTAAGCTTTTCAAGATTTGCACGAATGGTAATATGGTCGCTGCTGGATTCACCCCACATCTCTACTGTGTTGTGAGTAGCATCCAGCCATTCCTGTGTCTCGTACACAGCCTTGCAGTACTGCTGATGGTCACTTACGATGGCCTCATACCGTTCTAAGTAAGTCTGTATTCTCTGCAACATTTCCTGGTGGTGAGCTGATGCTGATTCCAGGAAAGAGTTGACTCTGTCGGCTCTCTCGGGAAGGTTCTCGGCCTTGTCTCGCACGTCGAGGATGGTCTGCTGTTTAGCAAGGATGTCGTGCAGCAACATGCGGTAAGTCTGCAGCTGTGCACGTTTCTCATCCAAGGTTGTCTTGAGCTCGATGTCATCTGGCATCTGTGCCTGAGTTTCCTTCAGCCACGTCTTGAGCTGCTCACTGGCTTCTTCGAAGCTGGTCCACCTGCCCATCTTCTTCTGCAAGTCCCTCTCCATCGTGGAGGAGCTGTCGAAGAGCGCGTCGAAGGCACTCTGAAGGTCCTCCAGCTGGATCCTGATGGCCTCTCGCCCGTCGTCGGAGGTGGTCGGGTAGAGCTTCTCCCCGAGCTCCACCGTGTTGTTGACAAGGGAGAGAGCGTTCTGCTTCTCCGCCAAGAGCTCATTGATGATGCCAAGTCGCTTTTGTAACGTTGCTCTGTCGCCTTGCATCTCGATACACTTTCCTAGCTTATCCTGAGCGGCAGTAAGCCAGCCCACGCTCTGGTTGTATTTGTCGATGAAGGCTTTGTGGTCACTCACACTAACCTCACACTTCTTCAAGATCTCCTGCAGAAGCCAAGAAAACACATCAGCTGTTACATGCTTAGATTTTTTCATTATCATTGCAAAATCCACCTAAATATACTCAAATAAAGTAATAACAATAACAATATATCATAACAATAACAAACATATCCACTGTGAAACATACATAAGTGAAAAAACTCATCTTTCTAACATCATACATTTTAACCTATATCTTTTCCACCTTTTGCTCCCTATCCATCGACTTAACCATTTCTCTTCTCCCCCTCTTCTCATTCCCTTCCCTTCTTCTCTCCCCCTTCTCTTACCTTAGCCGTAACTTGCACAGCCTTGAAGCGTGAGGTAATCTGCTGGACGTTGACGGAAATCCTCGTGTCGCCCGAAACGCCCATCAAATCTGAGGAATCGTCGCTCATCTTGTCGATCTCGCCCTGGTTCTGGATGATGCTGAACACCAGGCCCTGGGGTGCGGGAGGGATAGGGCGGGGGTGAAGGGATGGGGGGAGGGACGATAAACTTTGTGGTTAGAAAAGTTTTTTTTTTCTTTTTTCTTTTTATTTATTTGATGATTTTTCATGCTTTATATATACACAGATGAATATTTGAACATAATATATGTTGGCTGAAGATACAGCTGAAATTCATGTCATTAGGACACTTTTTCGGTTTAATCTGTTTTTATATTGAATTTTGAATTACATGTTTCTTCTTCCTTTTTCTTCTGTGTGCGTGCGTATGAGCGAATGCAATATCTGTGTCGTGTGTGTGTGTGCGTGTGTGTGAGAGTGTGAGTGCATGTGCGAATATGTGCATATGTGTTTATGCAGGCATGTATGCATAACTAACTGTACTTGTATATTTAATGGTAAGTCAACTGCAAATTTACACTAAATTCCGCTATATTAATAAACAAACATATTTTGATTTGAACAAGTGTAAACTAAAGCAGAATAAATTCAAGTTAGTAAAGCTACATATATCTGAACACAACCGAAGCCTGGTGTGCTGGCGAGTAAGATATTTGGTATGACGGTTAGGATACATAAATGCTCCTTTTTATATAAATCTTAGGATATAAAAGGAAAGCCATAAAAGAAATAAAAACAACAATGATAAAAAAACAGTAATAAAAAGACAAAAGAAAGGGAAACAAAATAGACGCGACGGACAAAGTGAAAATGGAACCGTTTTCTTTAAGGTTGTATGTTGAAGGGGTAACTTATCATTACTTTCTAAAATCCATCCAGTATGTTGTGGTATGTGTTTGTTTGAAGTGCATTTCTATCTTGAATTATTAATTTGTGGATACAAAGTATACATTGGACTTGTATAATAAATTGGTTTATTCATGATTTATATCCGTATTGATTTTATTCCTGTCAATGTTTACCTTTTTCTTATTTAATTTTTTTGGTTATAATTTATCGATCGCTGGTGGACGACTCCCTCTGACCTCCCTTCACCTTCCCTGGTGTGACCCCGGGTGCGGGTTGAGGGTCAAAGGTTACAGCTATGGCCTCGTGCTTTGCCAAGAGCCACTCGATTCTTAGGCACAACTTGAGGGCTACCTTGAGCGGAAGTGTCTCCCCCAGTTTTTTTTTTTTTTTTTTTTTTTTTTTTTTTTTTCTCGTGAATTTCATTTCGAGTAGTTGTGAATGGCATGTCGGCATCTCTCTAAAGGAAAAGCAATGAATTGTACATTTCCCATTAGCGAGGTGCCTCATTGTAATGCCACCGAGATGCCATATCTGTGTGGCACTTTTCCTAATCCAGATTCCACATGTCTCATTTCTTTTGTTGTATATTGCATTTTTTTTTTTTTTTTTTTTTTTTTTTTTTTTTTTTAGAAAATGAGACGATGCATGCACCCACCATCTCTCCAAATCTTTGCTAATTTTCCCACCTCCTCTTTCCTCCTCCTCCTTCTCTCTCTCTGCCTCTCTACCCTCCCATCTCCCTCAAGAAATGCCTAAGGAGGTCAGTCGTCTCTCATTTCATCCTCTCACCACAAAGAGATCAAAACTTACTTCAATAATAACGAGACGAGGTCTTACTTGTTCAAGGTTATCTGCGATTGCAATGAACTCCTGCACTAGCACGTGTCGGCTATCAACTACCCGAAGGAACTCCTAAAATCAACAGGGGGGGGAGGGGGTTAGGGATTAGTCAAGAAATTAGTCACACTGTTTCTCTCTCTCTGTCTCTCTCTTTTACTTTTCTTTCTTCTTTTTTTCTGAGAGAATGAGAGATTCCCAGGTTCTCCCTCTCGGATTTCCTGACTGATGATCAGATGAAGTTATAAAAATAATTCTCATAATTATTTCTGAAAGTTTACGGCGCTCATCGGCACCCATCTGATGATGACTTAATAGCGATGACGTCATTCATACACGTCGTCTCCAGGAAAACAATGACGTCACGCATCGTCTTTAAATCTACCTTTACACATGAAAAAGCTTAAATCATAAAGTATTTAGAAGACACAAATCCATCATCAGTCAGTGTGAAAGGAGGAACCTGTGCTCATACTTTTCTTCACTTGTCACCGGGAAGATATTTATTTTACTGAAACACTAATCAATTAAACAACACTGAAGTTATCTGGTTATTAAAAAAAAATCTAATCGTCAATTCATTTAGTTCACAAAACAACACTAAGATCAATAATCAACTATCTACGAAATAAATTAAAAAACGTCAGAATTATGCTAATACTACAATCATTCCATTATAGAATTATAAATTTATTACAGCCTTGATGTGGCATTATATTTGCTCTGTGTTAATTTACTGAATTACCCTACCTACGTATCTCGCCTAGTCTGAGCTACACACACACACACACACACACACACACACACACACACACACACACACACACACACACACACACACACACACACACACACACACAGTAATACTAAATGCATAATGTAAATTATCTCTCTCTCTCTCTCTCTCTCTCTCTCTCTTCCTCCCTCTCCTCCCCTCCCTCCTCCTCCCCCCCCGCCCTCCCCCCCCCCCCCTCCCTCCCGCACCCTCACCTGGAAGCGCTCCATCTGCTCGGTCTTCTCCTGCAGCGAGTTCCTGGGGCCGTAGTTCTTGAGCGTGGCCTCGGACTCGTTCAGCCAGGAGATGATGCGGTCGAAGGTGCTCTCGTACTCGGTCCACTGCTGAAGCCGCTCCTCCAGCCCGTGCTTGACGTCGGCGAGGGTGCTGGCGAACTTGGCCAGCTCGTACCTGCAGGAGGAGGAAGTGGAGGAGGGGGAAGAGGAGGAGGAGGAGAGGAGGAGGAGGGGATTTGAAGAAAGGGAGGAGGAAGAGGTGGAGGAGGAGGAGGAGGAGGGAGAAGTAGACGTAGAGGTTGTGGTGGAGGTGGAGGAGGAGGTGGAGTAGAGGAGGAAGAGAGGTGAAGGAGGAGAAGAGGTAGAGGAGGTGGTGGAGGAGGAGTAGAGGAGCACGTAGAGGAGAAGGAAGAGGATGAGGAGGAATAGAGGAGGAAGAAAGGAAGAGGATGAGGAGAGGAGTAGGAGGTGGCGGTGGTGGCGAAGAGGGAAGAAGAGCAAGAATAGGAGGAGGTGGTAGGTGGTAGGGGGTAATAAAAGAGGGCGAGGCAAAGAAGGTAGAAGAGATGATTCAGTCCAATGATAAAAATGAATAAGCCATATACAGCCAAAGCTTTTAATCTATCATTCTTTTCTCTCTCTTTTCTTCTTTGTTTATCAATCACAACAACCAGAAACACCAAAAAACTCGTCCTCATCACTGACTTCATATTATTGATCTCCCTCTCCGTGGTCTCTCTGCCGCGGGCGGGGAGCTTCTCGAGGATCTGGTGGGCGTGGGAGCCAATCTTAGCGATCATGTTACGCCCGTCGCTCTTGGCGTCCTCGAGCTCTGCAATGCGGTCGAGGCGCTGCTGCAACATCCCCTTGTTGCCTGAATAGTCTGCAAAGGAAGAGACGGGAACCGGAAGCTGAGTTAATGGCATAGCAGTTTACATATATATATATATATATATATATATATATATATATATATATATATATATATATACGTATAAATATATATATTCTCTCTCTCTCTCTTTTCTTTCTTTTTTTTTTACTCGATTTGGTTGTGCTGTAACCTGTGACGTCGCAATAGGATACACATGTTTCCTTCATTACAATTTTTTTCAAGTTATCCCTAGATTCATATATCAGAACATCAAAGAATTCGATAAACCCGTAACTTGATAGTCCCCTCTCCCCTCCCCCTCGACCCCCTGCTCACCCGTCTGCGAGTGCAGCTTCTCCCACATGTCCTTCTGCCACTCCTGGTGCGTCGCGTAGAGCTCCTGGTGGGCGCTCAGGTTGTCCGTCATCCACTCCAGCTCCTCGATGTTCTTGCGCGTGTTGGCGGCGAGGGCTTCGTGGCGGGCCTCCACCTCGGCCATGGCGTCCATCACGTCCTTGTTGCTCGGGGACGCCTGCAGGAGGTAGCCCGCGCGCTCCTTCACCGTGTCCAGGACTCGCTTGTGGGAGGTGATGTCCTGAAGGGTCGTCTGGAAGGGAGAGGAAGGGAATGATATGTACGTGTGTGTCTGTGTGTGTGTGTGGGGTGGGGGGTTCGGATCCTCTATGTGTATCAGTTTTTCATTATCAATTCAACGACCTATCATCATTCTAACAGCGAAGTGAGCGCGGAGACGCACCCTCAGCTTGAGGAGCCTCGAGCGGAGCTCCTGCACGGAGAGCCAGTTGGACGGGTCCACCACGATGGTCTTCTCCATGTTGTCGAGCCAGTTCCTCGCCGCCTGGATGCTGTCCGAGAAGGACGACCACTGCAGCGTCTGGGCCTCCTGGCGGCGCTGCTGCTCCACGATGGAGGCCTCGATCTTCTCCCAGCGCTCCCGCATGGCCCTGAGGTCCATGCGCAGCTTCTCGCGGCCGACGGTGGCGGTGTCGGGGTAGAGCCTCTCGCCGAGGGCGGTGATGGAGCCCAGGCGGTGCGTGGCCTGCTCGCGCTCGCTCAGCAGGTGCTGCAGCTTGCTCTCCTTCTTCTCGGCGTCCTTCTCGCTCAGCAGGCTCTCCACCGACTCGTCCATGGTGTCGAGCCACTTCTCGTTCTCGTCGAACTTCTCCTCGTAGGAGACGTGGTCGGCCAGGACGCCGCGCCACTTGGTCACGGCCTCCTTGGTGAGCACGTGCAGCGCCTGGTAGCGGTTGCTCAGCTGCGTGATCAGCGGCTTGAGGCGGTCGATGCTCGAGATGCGCACGAGCGCGTGGCTCTTGTCCACGAACACGTCGATCTCGCGCTCGTAGCGGACCACCTCCTCGCGCTTCTGGCTCAGCACCTCGATGCGCGCCTGCTTCTCCTCCAGCGTGGCACACGGCTGCTGGTCCTTGAAGAAGGACTCGAGCTCGCGGCACCACACGGAGTGACGCTCCAGGTCCTCCTCGAACTGGTGCCACTGCTCCAGCGTGCGGTTCAGGTTTTCGCGGACGTCGCCTGCAGGAGAGAGAGTCCACTTTTATCCTTCTGCGTCATTAGATTTTCAGATAAATATCAACTGATAATAAACAACAAAGGAAAATAAAAGCTATCACACAAACAATCTTAAAAAATCCCCCATCAGCTCCTTAACCCGACCCCGTCTCCCGCCGACGTCCTCTCCCAGCCACTCACCGACGGTAGCCAGGTGCAGGTTCCAGGCGTCTTCCATGGAGGTGATGGTCGCTCGCAGGGCCTTCCCGCCCCGCTCCGACGTGCTCAGGGCCACCTTCTCCCCCAGGGTCCGGAGCTCGATCAGTTTCTTGTCTCCCAAACCGTGCACTGTGTCCAGGTCCTGCATAGTAGAGGGAGTGAAGGGAAGGGAGAGAAATAGGAGAACGGTGGATAAAGGAAGTGAAGAGAATGGAAAGAAGCAAGAAAGAGAACGGAAGATAAAGGGGATAGAAAGATATAAGAGGGAGAACGGGGATGATGGGAGAGAAGGGGAATAGGGAGAGGAGGATGAAGAAGGGAAACATAGAGAGGCGAAGGGGAGTGAGAAGAGGGAGTGAGTGGAAAAAGAGAAAGGATAAGGGAATGAAGGAAAAGAGAAGAGTGAAGAGGGAAAAAAAGAAAAAAAAAAGAGAGAGAGAGGAGAGGAACGAAGAGAGTGATGGAGGGAGTAAAAAGGAGGGGGATGAGAGAGACGAAGAGAAAGGGAAATTAGGGAGTAAAAGAGGAAGAAGAGGGAGAGGAGGTTTGAGAAAGATAGTAAGACAGGGATAAAAGGTAGATATGTAAAAAGAGAAAAGACGAGAGAGATTGGTAGATAGACAAAGAAAGAGAGATAGAAGAGGAGGGATAAAATAACAAATTAGTAAAACAGATTTATAATTTTTATCATCATTAGCATCAGAGTTTAGTATATATATAAATATGGAGAATAAAAACATACAACGAATATAAAAGCAAAAAAAAAAGGAAAAAAAAAATCGTGTTTCTATTCTATTTCGTGTGCATAGCTTTATCAGCGGTGCGTCTATGCCTATTGTCTATTATTTTCTTTATTTTTTCTTAGCGAAACTAGCTGCCTTATATCTTTCGTGTTCTCGTGATAGCAAGCTCTCTTTCTGTGCGCGCGCTCTCTCTCTCTCTCTCATTGGTTCTGTCTGCTTTTGTTCTCTCTCTCTCTCTCACTGTTTTTTTTTTCTCTCTCTCTGTTTCTATTTGATAGTCTGTTTCTCTCTCTCTCTCATTGTTTCGGTCTGTGTGTGTGTGTGTTTCTGTCTGTCTGTCTCTCTCTCTCTCTCTCTCTCTCTCTCTCTCTACACACACACACACACACACTAAACGACAAAATCATACACATCTGGTGTCCTGTATTCTCTGAATAAAGCTAAACCATGTCCATCGTTTCTTGTTCTCCTTATATTCGATATACTACCTCGTGTTTGTGGACAATGAAAACGTCACAACAAAATAATTTCCATTTTGAAAGGGCATTCACCATGCAAGGGCAACATTATTCTGACTGATCCCGAACTTAGTCTATTGGGCATCGTCAATCATCGTTTTAAAAGGAAGGCAAATAACAATAATCGTTTTATGGGGTTTAAAAAAAAAGGGAGGTCGGGGTTTAGCAAGAATGGCGGAAGGATCAGTGTTTTGATTTGGTATTTCGGTAATTCTGGAGATTTTGAAGTCCCTTAAAATATGTCGATCACTCTCCTGGTTTTAAAAATCAACTAAAAAAGAAATGTAATCATATCCAGAAAGGGGAATAGTAAAACAGGGGATGAAAACATGAGAAATGTGGTGTCTCTCTGATGCAGTATCGTTTGGGTGTGACAGCCTCCGGAAAGGCATCACCAGGCATTCTTCACCCTGGAAAGCAGTGCCGTGTAGAATGTTGTCTGACTTCTATAAAGGCAGATGGTGCTTCCAGGAAGTTTTGGGGCTGAGAAAAAACACACTTTCTGTGTCTTGAGCAATCATAGGAATCGCAAATGTATTTCCTGTAGCATTGCTATATCAAACTTTGTATTGACACGGTGAATAATTAATTTGGCGAATAATTAATTTCTCATTATTCTGCAAGACTTTGATCCAGCTATATTCATCTGACAAACTTCCTGTGCGCACGCTAGCAGAGGCCTTCCTTGCTGTCGTCAAAGAGGGCGGGGAAGGCCAGAGGAAGACTAAACCGCGGTCACTCGCAGGTGCCGGCACGAGGGGGTCCTAGGGGAGGGGCGGTGGGGAAGTGAGAGGGCGGGGCGGCAACTATCAGGGTCAAAGTTAACACTAAGGGGTCAGGACATGCAATCCCGGCACACTTGTTACCTTGGCAACGATAAGTGTCACTGGAACAAGTTGTGAACAGGTGTTTAGTTCAGTTTCTACCCTCTGGAAGAAAGAGTTACAATGCTTGCTATTTATACATTTAAAAAAGAAACAACGGAAGACTTGTAGTTTCGACATGAACTATTGTTACGAAGATTAACAGAAAAGCTAGGCTATTTCAATAAGGTTCAGTTACCTGCATGCAACGCAAAATGATTTAATAAATGATAAGAAAAAAGATTGTCTAATGAATTAGAATCTCTAATTTAGTCACAAATTAAGTTCTTTCAAGAGATAGAAGAAAAAGAATGGAGTTAATAAAAACCAAACAAAAGTTATTTACCTTCAGGTTGTCCAGTTTCTTGGTAAGGTCTGACTTCTCGCCAGACACATCAGCACACAGATGGAGCTGGTCTCGCTGCAGGTTCAGCCAGTCCCCAAAACTCTTGCAGAGAGTGTTGAACTGAGCATGGTCCTGCACACACAAGTCCAGTTTATCTAACAGGTCACGGCTCTTGAGCACAATATTGTGGAAGAGTGTCTTGATGGAGTGAATGTACACATTGAGGGTCTTGTCCTGGGTCTGGTTGACAAGGGTTTGGGCCTTTTCACACACCATCTCCACCAGACTCTGGTGGGCTTGAATTTCCTGGTGGACAAGGCGGTGGTTCTGCAATTGTGCAGTCTTTTCTTGCAACGAGCTTTTCAGCTCGGTATGCTGCTGCATAGCGATCTCAACATCACGCAGCCAACGGGTCAGCTGTTCTTGAGCACCAGAAAAATCGGAGAATTGCTGCAGACACTGATCAAGTGTGAGTCCAGCATTGGTGACTGAATCACACCAGGATTCCCAGCGCTCACGCAGCTCTCGCAGCATCTGCCGAATGTTTTCACGGCCGTCGGGAGCTGTGTGGGCATACAACCTCTCACCCAACTCCAGTACAGCATCAACCTTGTTGGCCTGACTTGACTTGAGTTCTATTAACTGTTCAACTTTATTGCGTCGCATCTGCAGGATCTTCATGTCTCCCACTACCTCTGCATGTTCACGCAAATCAAGGTCCACTGCCTCAACCCACTCCAGGCACTCCTGATACTTTTCAAGGAAGGAACGATGCTCTCGGATGAACATCTCATAACGACTCATCATTTCCTTCAGAACGTTCTTGAGTGCCTGGTAGCGAGAAGACAACTGGGAGATCTGGACAGCATGTTTCCCCTCATTGTCCATGCTCTGGGCCTGGGTCAGAGCATCATTGATCTCGGGAGCCTTTTTGACAATCTCCTCTTCCAACTTACGGAGGCGGTCAAGATGGGCTTCCTTTGCATCAAGGTTGCTCTTGAGAGACTGATCCTTGACTTTGGTTTCAATGCTCTTGAGCCAGTCTCTCAGTGCCTGCACCACCTCTTCACACTCATTGTACTGAGACATGATGCCGTCAACTTTTCTCTTACCATCTGCAATTTCAGACTGAAGGTTACGCCAGCCCCTTTCTTGGCTCTCTAGATCTGCTATGATGGAGGCATGACCTGAAGCATCTGTATTTTTCAGGGTCAGCTGCAGACTCTCGCTACAAAGATCAAAGAGGCCCTGGCCCTCTGCCTCACCCAATTCAAGGGTATCTAGGATGCCCATCTTCATTTCAACATCACTGCTCTCTGGTGACACATCAGCACATAATGCAAGCTCAGCCTTTTGTGAAGTGAGCCAATCACGGAATTTTTCTGTGTTGTGTAAGAAGCTCTCATGATGCAGGATGATCTCCTCACACCGTCCAATCCTTTGCTGGGTTGTAACGGCTAACTCTCTGTATTGGTCGATCATGTCATCTACTGTCTTTGATGTCTCATCATCGGTCAAGAACTCAATCTTCTCCTTCAGTCCATATATCATGCTCTCGTGAGAATTGATGTCCTGATACACAGACTTATACTGCTGTAACTGAGCCTTCTTGTCAGACAAAGTTGGTTTTAGGTCAAACTCTGTTCCTGCTCGCCTCTTTATCTCCTCCAGCCATTTTGAAGCTTGAGTGAAGTTGTCATCAAAGGAAGACCACTGCATAATAATTCCCTCTACACGTTTGTATAGATGATTGACCCTATCCAAATGAGCCTCCCATGTGTCCCTGAGAGTGCGCAAGTCTGTTCTGATCTGTTCACGGCCCTCTGGAGTAATGGCTGAGAAGAGAGCCTCACCGTGTTCAACAACAGCATTGAGTAGCTGCTGTCCATTTTTCTTCTCTTCCACAAAGGACTTGAGGCTTTGCAATTTTGACTGGTATGCCAGAGTAGGCTTTCCTCCACTACTTGTCATCATTTCGAAGGATTGGAGTTTCTCTTCTGCATCCTTCAGCCACTCCTCCATCTTCTCAATCGTCTCTGAATACAACTTTTGATCACTTGTCAACTGATTTAATTTGTTAAGGAATGTATTACAGAATTTGACAAGTGCCTGAACCCTATTTCTCAACTGGGAGGCATACTCTCTGGCCCTACATTCAGGATTGACTTCCATCAGCTCTTCGGTTTTCTCCATGAGTTCACAGACCTCATCATCATGGCTATTGACTTCCTCAAGGAGATTCTCAGTTTCTTCAATCTTTTCCTGGACCATCGTCATATCAATCTGATTCATGGTGTCAGTACGTACACGAGCCTCAACCTCACGCAACCAAGAGCTCAAATTTTCAGTCATAAGCTCGTACTGTTGCCACAATTCTAACAGGCGAGTAAGTGACACATGACACTCTTCTAAGCGTGTGCTTAGTTCTTCCATTTCAGAGGTAGTTGCTTCACATTCCTCTTGGATGGCTTCACGCTGGTCAGCTGCCACAACTTTTTCGAACAGCTCCCGGCATTTTTCGAGGTCTTGTCTCTTTGCATGACCTAATTTGAGACTTGACTTGACATCAGACAATGCAGAGATTTTGGCTTCCACACCATATCTATCACTGCCTGGCTCAGCCTGACACCAAATAATTTTTTCTTGGTGGACAGCCAAAAACCTCTGCAGATCTGAAAGTCTGTCTCGGTAATGTTTTTCAATAACATACTGGAGACTCCTGCATGCCTTAGCAGTTTGTCCAATAAGTCCCTCATATTTCCTTTGCAGTGCAGTAAATTCTTTAACAAGTTTACTTGGCTCAAAACCTTTAAATCCTGCCTTTAGTTCTTCAATGGCCGTTCTAACTTCCTTGATCTTATCATCATATTCTTCCAATTCTCTTTCGATCTTCTTGGCAATTTCTAAGCGCACCAAAATCTTCTTATCATCTCCAGTAATGTCTTCACACTTCATCAAACGATCACGAATCTGAGACAGATTCTCACTGAGATCCCTAATATCCTCATAGACTGACGTCTCCTGCTCCTTCATTTCCTCAAGATATGCACCGAGTTTGGAGGCAACTGCTTCAGTCTGTTCAAACTCGGCTGTTACAGTGCTAAGGATTTCCTCAATCCTTGTCAAGGAGGATGAGTTGTTCAGTGACTCCAGTTGTTTGGCACTACTCTGAAGCCCACGGAAGAGACTTTCATAGTTTGAGAGCTCGTTTTTATATTTCTCTAATTTTTCTGCGGCTGCTTCTGTTTCATGGGTGATCTGTGTCTCATCTAGAGCTTCACAGGTATCACTGAGCCAGGTGAGGATCTCGTCTCGACCTTGGAGAATTTGTTTCCAGAGCACCAGTTGACCCTCTAGGTTCTGTGAGCGCTGATTAAGGAAGTCCATCATACTCTGCCATTTATTTTGAGTCTCCTGGGATTGTTTTCTCACATCAGCAGAGGTGAAGCCCTTTTCACTGTCGAGCTGTTGGCTCAGATGCTGAGACTTGGAAATAAAGCTTTCTAGTTGTGGTCTAGTTCTGCGCAAAGCATCAATGGTTTTCTTGCAAAGATTCATCATACTTTGAGCGACATTTGATTCTGATGGAACACCATCCAACTTGTCACTGTTACGATGAGCCTCAGCAATTGCAGCTTGTAAATATTCACGCCCATCTGTGCACTGCCTCCAAAGGGAAGTTATGCTTGTGAACTTGGTCTGCATTTCATACAGCATATTCTGCACACGGTCCCAGTTCCCATCTGCAGCTGTGAGGGCATTTTGTACAGAGACTAGTTGGGTGGAGTCACTAGACATGAGAGCACGTCCCAAGTCATGTAACTTGTCCTTCATCTTACCTTGTGACTGCATCTCCTGCAGTGCACCCTCAACAGCTTCTGATAAGTGCTGTACACCTGAATAGGTACTCTGCATCAACTCCTTATCAGTAACTCTCTTTGTAATGCCATCCAAGAACTCACTTAATTGATTCTTGACACGATGGAAAGCTTCCCACTGACTATTCACTGCTTGCAGCTGATCCTGTCGGTTGTCAAGGTTGCTTTCCAAAGAATCCATCCTCTTCCTGAACTCCTGAACCTTAGTTTCAATGTCAATAGCAGATCCAGTGTCGGGATCTCTGATGGTTGTTGAGCTTTTTCTACACAAGTCCATAATGTATGATGCTTCATCTTCCCATGAACGACACTGTTCACGAAGATTCATTAATTCTTTCCTCATCTGCTCTAAATCATTGAGATTGGGCTTGGCATCAATCTGTTGGCTAATGCTCTTCATGGCATCATCAGTATTGCTCTGCCACTCCCAGAAGTCACGCCACTTAAGAATGGCAGGTTTCTTGGATTGAACTACCTGCCCATAATTCTCGAAACGAGCTTCTGCATCATCAAACTGTGTAAAGAGATCTTCACGGTCTCGACCTGTGCATCGATCCCCAACATCACGACATTCTTCAGCCAGTGATGTTACTTCACTCTGCTTCTCATCGTGTTCCTGCTGCAGGCGATGCACCAAGTCTGGACTCCCATCTAATTCATCAACATCAATATCTTCCAGTTCATCTAGATGATTACTAAAGCCGTTAAGCCAGGTTTCTAGCTTGTCAACCTTGGCAAGAAATTCTTGACGAATAACCATTACATCTGACAACTCATTCTTCAATTTTCGTATTTCATCCCCTAATTTTGAGATCATAGTCTTCAGCTCACTTACTGTAGACTTGACAGAGGCACTTCCCTCTGGACCCATCCCTGAAGAGATGTGATCTCCAATAGCAGTCAAGTTGATAAGATCTGTCTGCTTTTCTGCCAGTTCTTTGTCCATGTCCTTCAGGTTGTTGACTCGGTCTTCGAGTCGTAAAACAGTGGGAGCATATTCAGTGACTGTCTCCATTCGTTCTTCAATCTGATGCACCCATGAGGATACAGCATCACATTTGTAGTTGAAGTCTTCCCATTCAGCCAAGAGAGACTCCGTCCTTTCACTCCACTGAAGTGCTACATCATGAACAGCAGTCCACCTTGAATGATAAGCGTCAACTTCATCTACTACTGAACAAATTCGGGCCACTTGAGCACTTTTACTAGACAGCGTGCGAAGTTTCTCCAGATACTCATCACACTCTTTTTCAAACTCCTTTGCTGTGTCTTGTGCTTGAATGGCCTCTGGCATGGAATTTGGTCTTGCCATGCCCACAGCCACTTTCGTTTCTGCATTTTCTAGCCATGGTCTGATCTCCTGTACACCTACTTGGTATTCTTGCCAGTGAGTGAGGTCATGCTGGACAGTCTCAAAATGCTTTTCTGTGTGCTTATTAAGTGTTAACAAGCTTGTCTTTAAGTCACCAAGTTCACCAGTAAACTGAACTGCTTCGGTAGATGGTTCACCCTCCATTAACTCTTCAACTTCATCCTCCAGTGTTTTTATGATAGCCATCTTCTGGTTGATCTTTGCTCGGAGATCAATAGTCTGATTCTGTCGGTCTTCTGGTGACAT